ATGGGTGGGATGGTGGTGGTGATGGTGGTGGTGATGGGGGGTGGTGGTGGTGGTGGGGTGGATGGGGTGGTGGTGGTGGTGGGTGGTGGTGGTGGGTGGTGGATGGGGTGGTGGTGGTGGTGGTGGTGATGGGGGTGGTGGTGGTGGTGGTGGTGATGGTGATGGGGGTGGTGGTGGTGGTGGTGGTGATGGGGGTGGTGGTGGTGGTGATGGTGGTGGTGGGGTGGTGGTGCTGATGGATGATGATGATAATGAGTGATGGGAATGAACACATACATACATACATACATACATACATACATACATACACACATACATAACATACATACACACATACATACATACACCACCACGCTCAGGTATGCATTAATTACAATAACTCGTAAACACATCAGATATTCGACAGGTAAGGTTCATGTTACCTGTCAGGAACTGTGAGGGTGTGATGGAGGGGGAGGGAGGGGGGGAGGAACGTAGATAATTGCTGGAAGTTTCAATGTCTCCTACACCACACACACACACACACACACACACCACACACACACACACACGCACACACACACACATCTAGAAACTATCTAAATAAACTATCATACCACCCCTTCCTTAACCTAACCTAACCTACTTATATATTATACAGTATGTAGACTAATATGGATAATAATAACAATAATAATACAATACATACATACATACATACATACATACATACATACCTTGAAGATGGTTGTGTCGAGACCCTCAGATAGACCTTTGTCTGAAGGGCCAGTCTACGGCAGGGAGGGGGGGAGGGGGAGGGGGGGGAGGGGAGGGGAGGGGTGGGGGTGGTGGAGGGGTGGTGAGGGGGGTGAGGTAAAATGGTAAGAGGAAGGGACGAGGGAGGGAAGGTGAGAAGGAGAGGAGAGGGAAGATGGTAAGGGAGGGACGGAAAATAGGACAAAGGAAGGAAGGGTGGGAAAGGAGAGGAAGGAGGAAGGAGAAGTAGGGACGAATTAGGGAAGGGGTAGAAAGGAAAAGGAAGGGAGGGAGGTGGGGGGTGTAGAAACGATGGAGAGAACGTGTGGGAAGGGAGGGAGAGAGAAGTAAGAACGAAGGAGGAAAGGAGTGGAAAGGAAGAGGAAGGAAAAACAGTGGACGAAGGCGGGAAGGGGTGGGGAGGGTGGGAGAAGAGCGAGGACGTCCGTGGGTGAGGTATAAAAGGTGTCTTCCTCACGTTTACCATCATCAGTTCATCCCAGACCATCATAACAGTGAGTAGTTCCAGTACTGTCTCACTCACTACCTCACTGACTCGCTTCCACTAACTGTTCACTCCATCACATTGTCAGTCTCACTCTCTCTCTTATGGTGACATCTTGTGATCCTCTTGTATACAAAGTGGCAGTGTGGTGCTGTGACCTACTATTGTGTACAGCAATGTGGCTGTGATCTGCTGCTGTGTACAGCAGTATGGTTGTGGCCTGCTGCTGTGTACAGCAGTATGGTTGTGGCCTGCTGCTGTGTACAGCAGTATGGTTGTGGCCTGCTGCTGTGTGCAGTAGGAGGCCGTCGTGAACACTTGTGTGTCATCGTCAGTGTACTGTTATCACTATAGTTCTCTCAGTGTTCTCGAGTGTGTAGGTGAAGTGGCCCTGAACCTCTCCAGGATGTGTAGGTGAAGTGGCCCTGGACCTCTCCAGGGTGTGTAGGTATGGGTGCTGCTCCCCCTGGACACATGTATAACGCCTAATTCACTTCTTGTTCCCTCAGACAACATCATGAAGGTCGCCGCCGCCCTCTTGTGCCTCGCCACTGTCGCCTCCGCCAGGATGGCCTACCAGTTCTCCGACGGATACCTCGAGATCCTCGGCGCAGAACCCACAGAACTTCGACTGCGCCGGCCGCGCCTACGGCTACTACGCCGACGTGCCCACCGACTGCCGGGTGTTCCACGTCTGCCTGCCCATCTCTGACGACCTCGGGAGATCGTGAGACCGCCAGTTCTCCTTCTTCTGCGGGAACCAGACGGTGTTCAGCCAGGAGTCCCTCACCCCACCCCAGGAGGCCTTCCCCTGTGACCAGGCTGAGACCCTCTACGACCTCTCCAACGCTGACTTCGGCAAGATCCCTGAAGAGAACTTGTAATACGTCTGGACCCCGACTATTAACGCTTCAAAAAATTCGAATACGATAATAAAAATAAATTCATTGCTTTCATATCTCTGTCTTTTAATGTTTTCTGAACCAAATCCTCAATAAAATAAATAATACAGAAATGATCGACCACTGAGCTCCGGCAGGCGATGGTGTCTTCAGCAGGCGGTACCATGTGTGGAAGGCGCCGTGTGCCTCCTGGTTGACGGAGTCGCGGCCCTACATCAGCAAATTCACGAACAACCTCTTCTTTTCAGCGCTTTTACGGAGAAATTCCCAAACACTAACCTAACCTTCCCTAACCTAACCCAGCCACGAGACACAAAGTATATGTGAAGGTGCTGGTGTAGTGGTTATTATACTCAATTGGTCCCCACGAGGCCCTGGATCGATATAGAACTGAATCACAAACGAAGAAATTAATACAGTGTGTTTATGTTATCAGTAATACCATAAAAATTACAAAATTGCAAAAGATGAACAAAATCTGATGTTAGTACAATTATCGTATGAACAAAAGATGAACGGAACATGATATCTAGTACAATTATCGAATAAACATAACAAAAGATGAACAGAACATGAACAAAGTGACTCATTATCTCTCATGTTCATTGAAGGTGTTGAAAATGACTCCTTAGTTACCTCAATGTATTTTATAAAGTTACTGAATTAAATATATCATACAACTGTTGTATATTTCCTGAGAGACGTTTATATAGAGGAAAGAGGAGGAGGAGGATTATCTCTCTCTCTATCTCACTCTCTTTGACCCATTCTCTCTCTCTCTCTCTCTCTCTCTCTCTCTCTCTCTCTCTCTCTCTCTCTCAAATCAACCATGGGCCAAGTCAACAATCATTGTACGTCATGTAATCACCCTTCCTTTTGGGGACTTAACACTATAATCTCCCCAACGACCGTTAAAACCGTTAAAAACCGTTGACGACCGTTGAAAAATTCGTAAATCTGAAAATGTTCGTTGTTTTTTTGCTTAATATTTTCGTCGATGGTTTAAACTTTTGAGGACAAGGACTTAAGGTAAAGGAGAGAGAAAGAGACAGACAGAGATGGACAGACATAGACAGACAGAAAGATATTGAGACAGAGAGACAGAGAGGGGATAGAGAGGGGAAGAGAGAGAGATAAAGGACAAAGACAGACAGAGAGACAGATATAGAGAGAGGAGGAGAAAAAAACAGACAGAAGACAGAGAGAAACACCTCATTCAATATGAAAACTTTCACTTGTCCTCCTTCTATTTATTCTTCAATATTATCTTTATTCTCTCTTTATCGTGTGTTTTACCCGTGTCAAGGAGAGAGAGAGACAAGACTCACACCAGACTGTAACTGTACCTGTAATTTATCTGTATTTACCTGTATCATAATAAAGGTCGAGCCACAATAGTGTTTAATCATACTCAAACTAGTCATTAGGGACACTTTAATTACGAGACAACTATGTAAATCACTCTGAATGACCCCCTCGCTTGTTAGAGTCAAGGATGTGTGTGTGTGTGTGTGTGTGTGTGTGTGTGTGTGTTATCGTACAGACATCGGACAAAACAGGTGAGGAAATAAATTGTCCTGTCCTGGTCATTACTGTTCTATTGTCCAGCCAACAGGTAGAGGAACACCTTCTCTTAGCTAATTAACAAGGTGTATGTGGTATACCTGGTGCCTCTATCTATCTCTATCTATCTATCTATCTATCTATCTATCTATTCAAGTGCTGACTCGATTCGCTTTAAGAAATAGATTCGTATGTGGTATGAAGATTCGGTTAGAGGTTCGGATCAAAAGTTGGATTCAGGTTCGGCTTCAAAGTCTCTCACGATTATACACGAATGTCATATTGAGAGATACCACTTGTGACCGGAAACTAACATAAGCTACAGGTAACCAGGTGTGTTGTTGACCTTGAGATATGATTGCTGAGCGAGACCACGAGATGGGATGATAATGATGGGGTGGTGATGGGGTGGTGATGGGGTGGTGATGGGTATTGATGGGGTAATGGTGGATGACGACGGGGGGAGGAGACTCTGGGTGACGGGTGATGGGTGGTGGTGATGGTGGGGGGTGGTGTTGGTGATGGGATGGAGGATGATGGGTGATGGTGATGGGGTGGTGGTAATGGGGAGGAGGATGATGGGTGATGGGGTAGTGATGGTGGAAGGGATGGTGTTAAGGGGAAGGTATGCAGTGTAATGAGGAAGAGAAGGAAGGGGAAGAGGAGGAGGAGGAGGAGGGAAGATTCGAAGGAGAGAGGATGAGGAGGAAGATGGTCAGGAGGGGAGGAGGAGGAGCAAGATGAAGGAAATGGGGGGAGAGGAAGAGGAGGGAAGATGGGAAGGAGGGAGGAGGGAGGAGGGCGAGGACACCCCAGCAGTAGGTATATAAGGTGGGGGACGACCTTTGATCATCGTCAGTTCATCCTGGACGATAGAACAGTGAGTAGTTCCTGCCCTCTCTCTCTCTCTCCCTCCCTCACACGCTGCCTGGTGTGAGGGAGGGAGGTGGGGTAGGAGAGGGAGGTACTGTGTGTTGGGGATGTGGTGTGAGGGAGGTACTGTGTGTTGGGGATGTGGTGTGAGGAGGCACGTGTGTTGGGGATGTGGTGAGGGAGGTACTGTGTGTTGGGGATGTGGTGTGAGGGAGGTACTGTGTGTTGGGGATGTGGTGTGAGGGAGGTACTGTGTGTTGGGGATGTGGTGTGAGGGAGGTACTGTGTGTTGGGGATGTGGTGTGAGGGAGGGAGGTACTAGGTTGTGAGAGGTTATTATCACCGTGGTGTTCCTGATCAGTGATGTGAGGAGCCAATGTCTATCTTCTGCCTCCAGTGTTTGCCTAATGTTTGTTCTTGTTCCCTCAGACAACATCATGAAGGTCGCCGCCGCCCTCTTGTGCCTCGCCACTGTCGCCTCCGCCAGGATGGCCTACCAAGCCTCCGACGGATACCTCGAGATCCTCGGCGCAGAACCCGCACAGAACTTCGACTGCGCCGGCCGAGCCTACGGCTACTACGCCGACGTGGCCACCGACTGCCGGGTGTTCCACGTCTGCCTGCCCATCTCTGACGACCTCGGGGAGATCGTGGAGACCGCCCAGTTCTCCTTCTTCTGCGGGAACCAGACGATGTTCAGCCAGGAGTCCCTCACCTGCGCCCACCCCCAGGAGGCCTTCCCCTGTGACCAGGCTGAGACCCTCTACGACCTCTCCAACGCTGACTTCGGCAAGATCCCTGAAGAGAACTTGTAAGACGTCTGGACCCCGACCCCTACCATGCTGTATAATACCCACTAGAGTTTAGTAAAGTTTTATATTATCAAAAGCTGAAGTTCCATGTTTCTCTCTCCCTCACTACGGTGCAACACCAATCCTCCCTAATATGGTCAGGAGCCACACAGGTGAGACAAAGAGTCATTAACCTGCCTCAAGATCACCTGTGGTCTCCTCCTGACCACTAATGGCTCAGGATGACGGTGAGTGAGCCAGTGTGTTAATGTCTCAGCTCCGACGGAAACATATGAGCGGCCTTGTGTCTTTCAGATGGTAATCCGGACACTCTACCCTACACTATCGCTTAGTTTACCATGAAATGTGAGTTACTACTACTACTACTACTACTACTACTACTACTACTACTACTCCAATAATACATTAATTTTACCTCTTTAAGATCAATTTCACTAAAACACAACTGACCACCACCACCATCAACACCACCACCATCAACACCACCACCATCAACACCACCACCATCAACACCACCACCATCAACACCACCACCACCACCCCCATCAAACACCGCCATGCTATCCTCTCACTCACGCACATCGATAAAAATCACAACAACAACAGATAAGAAAAAACAAACAAATGAGTATTATTGACGTTGATATATTAATTTAAAATACTAGGTTACTCTCACTCGGTGGGCGTGAGGGGCGTGAGGGGCGTGAGGGACCAACCGCGACCCTTGTTTACTACCACTAGGCAATACTAGATGTATACCTTGTTCATAACCTGTTCATAACCTGTTCATAACTTGTTCACACTGTGTTCACCATTCTCTTCGAAAAAAAAATATGACTTTTATAGCAGCCATGAATTGGTATTTAATCCCTGTCTGTTCGTGTGTGTGTGTGTGTGTGTGTGTGTGTGTGTGTGTGTGTGTGTGTGTGCTGTGTGTGTGTGTGTGTGTGTGTGTGTGTGTGTGTGTGTGTGTGTGTGTGTGTGTGTGTGTGTGTGTGTGTGTGTGTGTGTGTGTGTGTGTGTGTGTAATTCATTATAAACCACCTTTCTGCTTACTAAGAACCTAAGAACCTGAAGTAACATTCTCCTTCCCTTCCCTCCATTACTGATTCTCTCCACTACTCTTCCTTCCTTCCTTCTTTCCTTCGTCCCTCCTTACCTCCTTCTCCCCCATCTATCTCTCCTTCCTTCCATCTACCTCCTATACATCCCTCCGTCCTTCTCCGTCTTTCCCTCTCTCTACCTCCCGTCCCGTCCCTCCGTCCCCCGCCTGACCCTTCCTCCCTCCTTCCTTCACGCATGACCCCACATAAACAAACCTTCCACAGGTAGTATCCCAGACTTCATTAGCCAATAGTCTTTATAAAGCCAGTTGAAAAAAAATCTTACTTTCACTGTCACTTTCCTCCTCACCCTTCTCTCCTCCTTCTACCTCCCTCTCCTCCTCCTCACCTCTCCCTCTCCTCCTTCTCACCTCTCCCTCTCCTCCTTCTCACCTCTCCCTCCTCCTTCTCACCTCTCCCTTTCCTCCTTATCTCTCTCTCCTACGTTGGTATATGCTTAAAGTGTGGAAAAAAGTGAGGGAATTGTTTAAGAAGATCAAGCAAGCCATCCACCATATACCCCTCACACACACACACACACACACACACACACACACACACACACACACACACACACACACACACACACATAGGTACGTCCCCAACCCCTCTATAACAACATGAGGTCCGTAAGGTCATATATAATGAAGTTAAAGGTGAAGAAGGTGAGGGAATATAACGGGGTTGACGCCGCCATTGTCACCGTGGGAACAAGCTTATATCAACAACCTTCAGTAAACACGTCATGAGGTGATTAACAACAGAAGTAGTTAAGGTAATAGATGAATCACCTGAAGATAAGACATTCCACCTTATTTCACCTGAAGATTGATCACCATAATGCTAATATAACCTCACTTAACCTAATTTAACTTAATATGATTATAACCTTAACCTAACATAATGCTAACCTTACTTGACCTAACCTAACCTAACCCTCAAACTCATTAACATTTGCCTCCCCTCCCTCCCCCCTCCCTCCTCCTTCCTTTCTCCCCCTCCCTCCCTCCCTCTTCCTCCCTCCCCTCCCCCCTCCCTCTTCTTCTCTCCCTCCCTCTCCCTCCCCTCCCCCTCCCTCCTTCTTCTTTTACCAGATCAAGGAAACTAGACAATAACCGAGCAGAGGTGAGAGAATTAGGGAGGGTGAGGTGTGGGGGAGGGAAGAAGAGGAGAGTGGGAGGAGGGAAGAATGAGGAGGGAGAGAGAGGAGAGTGGGAGGAGGAGGGAGTGGGAGGAGGTCCTCCAGCAGTCTGAAGTGAGACAAAATTGAGATGGTTGCGGAGAAGATTTAGGAGGGGGGGCGGTGAGGAGGTACAGGTGAGGAGGTACAGGTGAGGAGGTACAGGTGAGGGTACAGGTGACGAGGACAGGTGACAGGTGACGATGAACAGGTAGAGGACCAGGTAAGGAGGGCACATCATCACCACCACACCACCACACTACCACCACCACCATCATCATCACCACCATCACCACCACCACCACCACCACTCACCACCACCACCACCACCACACCACCACACACCACACACACACACCACCACCACCACCACCACCACCACCACCACCACCACCCACACCACCACCACCACCACCACACAACCACCACCACCCCACACCACCACCACACACACCACCACCACCACCACCACCACCACCACCCACCACCACCACACCACCACCACCACCACCACCACCACCACCTAATATTCCCACACCTTTCCTCCTTATCACTAAACACCTGATGGACCTGCCTTCTCTTATCTTATCTATGGCCTTAAATACCTGTGCATGAGCAGGTGATGTTAATTAGTGTTTATAGACCAGTGTGAATCTCTATCATCTGATCAGCCTCAATAAACAAATATATCAAAAAACATATACATACATACATACATACATACATACATACATACATACATACATATAGAAAACAAAACAAAATCCCACACCTATATGTAAACATATATTTCCCAGAATATTGCAAATTGCACTCACAACGCAAATCATTTTCTGCAACACATCATTAACATAAATGGTCCTCAGCAGATTGCACACATATTAAAACTAGCAATTAAACATTCCCCTTGGACCTTGTAATGTAAAATACTTCACACACAGAAATCTCTAGTGAAAGTCTTGAATACAGAGGGTGGAATACATAGTGGGTGGAGGAATATAATGGGTGGAAAGTATAGTAGGTGGAAAATACAGTGGGTGGAGGAATCGACTTAATGTGTGTGTGAAATCTATCCAAACTGCTACAAACACACTAAAACACTGCTCACACCCCACACACACACCACACCCCCTACACACACCACACCCCTACACCCCACCACCCCCACACCCCCACACACACACACACACACCCCCTACACCCCACACACCCCTACACACACCACACCCCTACACACACACACCCCACACACCCCACACACCCACACCCACCCCACACACCCCACACCACACCCCTACACACACACACCCCACACACACACCCCCTACACCCCACACACCACACACACACACCCCTACACACCACACCCACACACACACACACCCCACCCCCTACACACACCACACCCCCTACACCCACACACACAAAATCAAAGTTTCTCCACGAGACTGAAAAATATAATCACTTATCTTCCTCCCAAACATCTTCCTCCCAAACATCTTCCTCCCAAACATCTTCCTCCCAAACATCTTCCTCCCGACCATCGACTCCTCTCAACCAACAGACGAAGGACACGTAACAGTATAGAGACACAAGCCCTCTTAAAAATAACTCAGTCTCAGAAAATTGTATACACATTATATCATGGAACACCACACTAATTAAATAGGGATTGTGTATACATTTTTCTGAGACACTACTCAGTTGGCCCCAGGTCTTTGGAAACTCAGTAGAAGGGATCGTCTGCATATTGAAACCTTGGCACCTTTGTTGATGGATCACCATACATGGCTTTGCCTAATTAAGGTATAAGACTTGTCATCTGTCAGTGAGGGAGAAGGGGCTCTCCGACGTGTAGTGAATGTGAAGGAAGTGTTTGTTTATTGTTTATCTGGCCAGTAGTATAAGAGGTCTTCCCTATGTAGTGTTAGTTCACTCCTTGTTTACTGTTTGTTTACACGAAGTCTGAGTCGTGAAACAGCTGACAGTCGTCATGTTGAATATATTATCTTGAGCTGACCCTTGAATAAGTCACCCTCATCCTTGAAGTGTATTTGAAGGTATAACTTATCATCAGGCAACAATATACGGGACACATGTCTACACCAGACAGAGAGAGAAGGACCAGCCAGAAGGACACACTGTTCGCTTCTTCAAAGGTGTTAACACGGAGACACACATAAGAGAAGTAAAAGTAACTTACAGGCAGAGAGAGAGAGAGAGAGGTGTGTGTGTGTGTGTGTAAGAACAGTCTCAGAGGGTTCGTGATGACGTCAAAACTCACACAATAACAAAGTGACCCCAAACACAGAGTTACGTCCAAGTTCTCGAAGGTTCCAACGTTACCATCGTCCAACTCGAGATGTGAGAGCTGACTTAACAGGTTCTCTTAAGCAGCGACATAGTGATGGATGCGCCGAGGTGCTGTACAAGGCGTGATATATGTCTCATGTGTTAAGAGCATTGTTTATGATCGGTGGTGGTGGCAGAGACACTGTTGGGACACTTGTTATGTGTCTTGGTGTTAACAAGGATAATCTCTCCTCCTCAGACAACATCATGAAGGTCGCCGCCGCCCTCTTGTGCCTCGCCACTGTCGCCTCCGCCAGGATGGCCTACCAGTTCTCTGACGGTTTCCTGGAGATCCTCGGCGCACAACCTGTCCAGAACTTCGACTGCGCCGGCCGCGCCTACGGCTACTACGCCGACGTGCCCACCGACTGCCAGGTGTTCCACGTCTGCCTGCCCATCTCTGACGACCTCGGGGAGATCGTGGAGACCGCCCAGTTCTCTTCTGCG